CTCGCCCTCTGACCAAGAACATCACATGGATATTTACATTCTTCCCTGTGTATGAGAGGTCTGTTGTGCTTCTATGATGTCTGCCTGGTTCATGTCTGACGTCTGTGGTAGCTACATAAAACTCAGTCACTCACCCTTGTGGTTTCACCATCTACAATCTGTTACCAACTCTTTTTATGACACTACCAGATTACTATGAAACATCTATGTTTGAAAGGCTTTGGCAGCAGGCTCAAATATTCTGAGTTTGGATTTACGTACAAGCATGTCGATGAACACATCTGAGGGTTATTCACATCATTAGAAAAACAGCTTCATCCATTTTGACCAGAGAAGCTAACACAATGCATGATTGGATCATTTGAAGATATTTGTACTAAGTAATTTGATTTCTGAATGAAAGCAACAGAAAATGTTACAGATTGTGCCAAAGCAACTGAGAGAAAAACTTATTGCATGTAGTATATTTTATGCTTAATTTTCCCTGCCAATGCTATACATCTCATTTCCAGAGGAAGAGATCAGTAACATGAGGAGTGAGCTGGAGAAGTATGGCATTCAGATGCCGGCTTTCAGTAAGATTGGAGGTATCCTGGCCAATGAGCTCTCAGTGGATGAAGCTGCCTGTAAGTCCTCTGACCTTTTAATTGACCTTTTCTATTGATGTTTTGACAGAAACCTCCAGAAGATGAAGAGAAAGCATATGACATAGTTGACTAATTTTGTATTGTTTCCTTATGTATTTTTGGCCAACACTGAAGTGTTCATACACTCTTGTCTTTAGTGCATGCTGCTGTGATTGCCATCAATGAGGCGGTTGACAGAGGTCAGGCATCTGTGACGATGGGAGCCCTGAACAATCTTAACGCAATGCTGAGGAACATCCAGGAAGATCTGGCCCAAGACTATCAGGACACACTGAGCAAGGCTAAGGCTCGTAAGCAGGATCAGTCCTCGGGGAGGGTGAGTGGCTGAACAAACACCTTAGTGACCTCTAAAGTTTCAGTGTCATTTTATTTCTATAATTATAAGTAATATAATTAGTACCGGCTTTTCTTATATAGCAGGCTTGATTAGCTTCTGTGTGACTTTCACTGTCTATATTCATGTCATACACATTGCTGACACTCTCTATTTCACTTGACTTTTGGTCTGGTAAGATATGGAGATACATAAATGTCATTTAAACAACAGTGCCATGAAATGAAACTGGCATCACCAATAAAAACACCTTTCCATTAAACCCACTGTATATGTCACATCCGTATTCAGCACAGGTTGGGAGTAGGGTGGTCTAAGGGTGTATGTTGACCCAGGTGTATGTTGACCACTAGCAGATGCTGAACCTTCAGTGTTGCTGTGAAAGTTGTAGCACTGAACTGAAAGTACAAAATAGAAGAATGTAAATGATGAGACTCATCATGAATAATCTTCAAACCAAATGTAAGGAATGCAAAAAATGTAGACGTTTACTACAGTGTACTGACAACTACATTAACTGAAGAGGACTGAGCTCTGAAAGGGGTTGCCTGCACTGACTCACTCCACTTGCCTTGCCAGCACATTCCAGTGACTGCAGTGTCAGCTTTGCTTTACCAAACGCTAACCCTCCACTCCCTCTGATATCTCGCCTCCCATTCTCTTAACACTGTCAAAACAGGAGTCGTCCATTTACGCCGAATACCTAAAATGTGATATGTAAAATATGCAACCTCATTAGTATAAATGGGGAAATTGAAATTGATGTCACCAAGTACAAATTAAATATGCCATATGAAACAAATATCTAATAAATGCATTTATTTTTCTTTGTCTGTCTCTTAGCGTTCCTCGATTGCTACTGAAGAAAGAGATGTTTATGAGGAGCTACTGACACAGCAGGAGATCCAGGGTTGCATTGACTTAGTCAACAGTAAGGACTTTCCCTCCCATAACCCTTACATGCTTTTCCTCATAAAACTGTCCAGTGTCATGAAGGCATGCCTTTTTAAAGAGAAAAAAAAATCAGTGTAGAGTGGTTGCATATGAACACAGGACATTTGTGAACTCTGAATATACAATAGAGAATGTGCAGTCCAAAAAATGAGAAATTACAATAAATTATTATTTTTTCTGTGATTTTTTTCTTGCTCAGAAAGATGTTGAAAAGAAAGTACATTATCCCTCAGTGACATCTGTCTTTCACTGTCTCCAGTCCAGGCAGCAGTAAGGCAGGTGAATGAAGCAGTGTCGACCCAGGACGAGGCTGCTCTGTTGGCAGCACTTAGGCTTGAAGCGCTGGCCCTGCTGGGTGTTCAGGAGTTAAACTGCCACTGGTACCTGGAACATTTTACCACCTACTGCCAACATAAATCCAAGGTATACTGACTCAGAGCTTGATTGCTCAGTTGTTGCCAACTCAGGCCCTCAGGACCCAGACCACCTCTGTTTTCTTTTCAAGCTGTCAGTTAATTGCATTTATTTGCAGTTGTTAGAGACATGTAGTAGATAAGCCCTTATTAGATAGGGAGAATAAAAAAAAATATAGTTCTTGGGGTTCCTCGGGCCACAGTTTAGAATGACTGATACTTACAAGCCACAGAAACAAATCAGGCATATTTCTATGGAAACATAGAAATGCTTACAGCATCTTTTCTAAAATGAATTTTTCAGTTGTCCATCTAACAGAAACTCCACTTGGGTGCACAGCAGTTCTTTGGCTGAGGAGATTTTGTGTAAATGTTGATATAGGACTCTAGCTGCTGCTGTGCTGTTTCATTACTCAGGCAGTGAACACACAATGTTATAAAGAAGTATGATCACACCTTCAGAGAATAAAAAACTACTCAGCCACTGTAACTTCAGTTGGAATGGACACCCCCCGACACTTTGTCCTCCATGGCCCTGCATTAAAACAAACTGCATAACCATGGGACCTTAGTGGTATCTCCATAGTATACTCTAATCTTTGTGCTGCAGGATGGAGGGAGGGCTGTGATGGTGGACAAAGAGGAGATTCAGCGAGTTGTCAGCTCTTGCAATGACTTTGCCGAGGCTGAGAAACGAAGTAAGCACCTTTTGTTACTTACCATGGATGTGTATTATCAGTAATTACTAGTCAGTTGAAAATAATATTTGTATTCACAAGCTAGGTTTTCAACACTCACAAAATTACATTATGTAATGTTTTATCTACGTTAAATATTTTAATCTGGGGTTTTCAAAGGCTTTTGAGTGTATAATTGTATTTCAAGTTTAATAGCATAATTTTCATACTGAGATACCTTTGGAAAATTGAATTCAGGTTACTGCAAAACATCTGTGACTGACTGACTGTGAAAATTTTCTTGACCAGAACTGGACGCAGTTGCTGCGATCAATACCGCCATTCGCCTTGGCAATGCAGTGGAGACGGCGGAGCAGCTGATGAACCCTGAGGCACAACTGCCAATTGTCTACCAAACTGCTGCCAACCTCTATCAGGCCGAACTTTTCAGTTTGCAGCTACAAGGCGGGCGGGTGAGACATCATGTTTAAAATTTTGACACATGCTCAGACAGATATGCGTCTGTGCTAGATATACAGTGCGGGCCCAAAAGACTGAGACCACAAATGGGAAAGTATATTGCAGTTAAATGTCAATTCATGCTTGTGATCCAGACCTTTATGTTTATTAGTCTGGCCTGAGCCACGAGGAGCTGAGTGTAGCTGTGGAGATGCTGTCAGCTGTAGCAGTGCTGAACGAGGTGCTGGACACCAAAGACCCCCAGGCTGTGATTGAGCAACTAACAGATTCTCCGCTTGGCTTCACCAATATGGACCAAGACAACCTCAACAGGTAAGTTCACTGCAGGACAGATAGCTGTGGACTACTGATGGGCAAAAGGTATCAGTGGCATGTGTCAAACAGGTACTAGGAACACCAGTTGTATGTGTACCATTCGGTAGCAGGTTTGTGACTGCAGGTTCAAGGTTCTCTTCTGCAAACATTGGTCTGACTGAAATGTCCTTGAGCAAGTTTTACCATCTCCAGCGTGGAGCTGTTCTCTAGTTAACTCTAGCCTCCTAATTGCCCTGCTGTCATATTTGTTAATGCTGTTCTGTTTTCTGATTTACTATTTTGTTTTGTTGTTCATAAATTATGGTGATATGTTTTTAAGAGAAACTAATTTGATTAAAAGATTTATTTTTAGGAAGAATCTCTTTAGGTTGCAGGTTAATCCACTGCAAGTTTCTCTCAACTGTTACCTATTATCACCAGGGTGGGCTACTGAGTAGTGACTCATTTGATGTCAGGAAACCGTTTTGACATTCTCCATGGCACTCCCTGTCAGGTATGCTGACACACTCATCAAACAGAGAGCTGAGGCCCTTGCCAATGGCCAAGAGTTTCTGACCTGGAATGATGTTCAGAAGTGCATCGACGCAGTCAACGTTCAGGTCCATGAAGAGCATGAACGTAAGTTTGTGCTGTGCAGCAAATAAACTGGCCAGCAGTTTGAATCCTTGGAAAAGTGTTATATTAGGTGCAGCCGTACAATGGCAATTTTTGTAATCACACAATGAATTAAACACAGTGACTGATCAAGTTTCAAATGTGTCTTGTCCTCTGCCTCCAGGCATCATAGCCATCGCTGAGATCAATGAGGCACTTAACTCACGTGATCATCACCAGACACTTGCTGCCCTGCTCCTCCCTACAGCCAAGTTGACTGGTGTGAACCCAGCTACAGCCAAACACTACCATGATGTCCTACAATATACCAAGCAACTTCTTTGCCAGGTAATGTGATGCTGGTTTTGTTTAATTTATTTAGGACTTGAGTAGAGAAATGTGCTTGCATCTCCCACATCCTCAGAGTGCAAAATATGCAAAAATGGTTGAATAAACCAATGATGTAACCACATACTATAACTTTCTGATTCTTAATAGTTTTATTGGAGATACCCAGCAGCCTCTCATCACTGCCTTGACTGTATTAATATATATTACTACATTTTTATGAAACTGAGTTGCTTCATTGTTGATTTAGAACTTTAATGTACATATTTTACATGTAATGAAAAATTGGAAGAAGAGTGAAGAGTAAATATCTATATTAATATTGTCTATTTATGTATTTTAATATCCTCCTGACAAAGCAAGATAGAGGATTGATTATAGTTGTCAACGTACTGTGACACTGTGTCACCAAGTTACCATTCTTACATTGTTATGCTCGTATAGTTAATTTTTTTCCTTTTCTGGTACTGTACAAAGTCTTAACTCTCACATCCTTGCTCCTTGTGCTTCCCCGCTGTGTCCCAACAATGGTCCAGCAGGGACATGTTTATTTTCTGTACACACACATCCAGTCTCATGCTATAACTGCAGGTCTCTGAGGTTTCTCACGGAGGGAAATGAATTGTAGCTCTGAGGTTGCCGTCTTGGAAACAAGCAAACACAGGAAGGGATCCAGACAGCTGTGGAAGCAGCAGAGACACACTGCTACTCTGTAGTATCCATACAGTCTGTCGTCGCCGCTGGAAAACAGACGGATGTAGTGGGCGATATGCAGGATGCCACTAGGCAAGAAACACACCACAAAGATGACAAAGACCAGAGTGCTGACCCTGATAAAAGGTCTCCAGTCACAACCAGATTGCCTTAAGTGGTATACTACTACCACATGGGTATAGATACAAATAAGGAAGGGTACTATGAAGCCCAGACAAACCAGCATCAGCCTGTATAGCACCAATGGGGAATGGGATTTTTCTTCTAGGGGAAGTACATCATGGCAGGTGGTGACCCCCAGCTGGGTAACCTGGTAGCTCTGCCTAACGAGGAGCTCAGGCACAATAGCAGCCCCAAACAGGAACCATACAACCAAGCATGTCCCCACTGCCAGCGTAGTTTTAGTCAGCCTTCTGTACAAAAATGGTCTGACCACAGCCAGGTAGCGCTTCAGACTGATGCATGCTATTGTTTGAGCTGCACAGTAAACATTGCTGTAAAACAAGGCTGTGATAAGCCGGCAGGAGATTTCCCCAAATATCCAGTTGTTTCCGTTGAAGTGATAGTGAACACGCAGCGCCAGCGAAAGCAGGAGCAGCAGGTCGGACAAGGCCAGGTTCAGGTAAAGAACTACTGTGGACATGGACTTTGCTCTGAGTCTGACTCTGAGGAAGCCCAGAATGTAGGCATTGGAGGGGATACCCACAAGCATGGCCAGAATGTATGATGAAGGTATGACCGAGGTACTGAGGATCCCTGTGGTATAGGCTGTCACTGGGTCCTCTGGGTTCACATAGAGCCAAGGCTTTGTGCTGGGATGGAGAGCTGGCAGATGGTTTGTGTGATTAAGTCTGTACATCTTCCCCTTGAAGGTTTTTGGTATTGCACCAGTTGAAATACTGGTTTTGGTCCTGGTTCCATTTCCTATAAATGGGTAGGAAAAAACAATGTTCATGGCTTTAAGGCAACTTTATTTATGTATTTATTTATTTTTAAAGTAGATTTCAAACTACAGTAAAACATAAAATGTAGTTAATCATGCTGCCTGTTGTCGTCTAGTGTTTTAGTAAAGACTATGAAGTTAGATTTATTTTTTGCAATGGAAACAGACATTTCAATAATAAAAATATACAGTAGTACATATATATTTCAATATTTTATAACTTACAAATATTTTGGTGTTACCAAAATGACTAAGTGTTTCAAAAAAGCACAAGTGCAAATATCTCGTTTTGGACCCTGGCCTAAAAAGACAAATCCAGTTATCCTTTTGTATAACTTGTTTTTCAAAGTATTGGTAATGAACTTACCATCATGCTGAATGGTCTGCACTGCCATCAGACAAATGAGTAATCCTGGCAGAAGTTCTGCCATATCACTCTTCAGTCTGTGGCCCAGAGTCTTCAAAGGTGTCTTGTCCTCACCTCTCTCGGTGTTGCTTCTTTTCACTTAATACAGGAGTTTTCCACCAGTGAAATTTGCTGTTTAGCATGTCTACAGCGCAACGGTAGAACTGATATAATGGTGTGCTCTCAGGCTCAGCTGTCCCGCTATTGTGTGTTGAATGCTTGCCTGTTTGTACGGTGCTTTCCTGTTCAGGCTTGAAAAGTGAATCGTCTTTCTGCCTGCCAGTGACTGCCCACTGACTCACTGGGGTGGGAGGACACTGCTCAGTGGTTCATAAACAGCTCAACAAATTATACTGATTACTGTTACAATAAGTAATTTTATGGTATGGAATTGAGGAATCACTCTGATAGTTTTTTTTGGATATTGTAAGCTTCTGTATTTGCATGAAAATGTATGCTACTCCCCTAATACTATTGCATCATACATCATACCGTGTTGTGCATTAATGTCTCTCTGGTTTGTCACATAAACTTTACACTGAAATGGTGTCACAAATGAAGAAATGCACTTTTATAATTAACAACTATAAGGAAAATGCTTCTTTTGCAGCCACATTTTGCCATTGCATTGTTGGAGGAGCAAGGCTGATCTTCTCTCAAAACATGAACAGTTGGCTGGGAAATTATCAGTGAGATCCAGATATAAATAAAGTCAGTCAGCTCAGTGGTTTAGTGATAACTTCCATCCTGTTGGCCCCGTGGCCTCAATCCCCAGCAGAATTTTCTAAAGTTAGTCTAAGAACAAAAACAAAATCAGGCTGAATAAACATTCATTGTGCTTTTTGTGATGTTACAATGTTAGGGTCTGATTTTTAGTACAAAGTGGTTGATTGAGTGGAGTTGAGGATATGGTGTGTGCTTATAGTGTAAGTATTGTTAATCATTATTCACTATATTGTTTTCCTTTTCCTTAGATCTTACCTCTGGACACAGGGGAAATGGTACTGCCTACTATTTGCTGTTGCTCTAATAGCACCAGCTTGTGCAGTGTTGGTAATCAGTGTTGCAATGAAGTGCTGTTGCTATAGAACTAAACATGGCATATACAAAAATCTACAATCCTAACTTGATGAATTTTGAAATTTCTAACCTTGACGTTGAATGTTTTGACTAAAATTTCTTCAAAAGACTTCTAATCTGATATCAAGTTAGTATTGTGCAGCTATACATGAACAATGCCTCGTGTGCCTAAAGTATAGTTTTGTTTTTCTCTCCTAAAAATAAGAGAAATAACCTTGTACTTTTTCTCTGACTGCAGAGCTCTGGAGATGAGTCTGCAGTACTGTGGCTGGACCAAATCCAAGAGGCCATACTCTCAGCCAACCAGGATGAAGAGGAGGCTCTCACATGTATGTACCCAGAGTTGAAATTCACTCATCCATATCTTCACCACTTTAAACAATAGTTGATTCAGGCCCTGTTAATTCCTCTCAATTATAAGCACATAGAATACAATATTCTGATTGTCCAGGTTGTGCATTATTTTCGGATCACCACACAACTCTGACTTAACGGGTTCATTACTGATTCTAAATTAATACGTAGAGCTTGTTTCAGTATTGGCATGAATCATGGTACAGTGTTTTGTGATCATATAATACATAATCTGACATTATTTATATGAGTATCAGGCTTTGTTGTGTTACTGAGCCAAATGTACAGAATAACCTTCTGTTCCTGCAGATGTTTTCTCTCTGAACAGCTCTGTTATCTGGCAGTTCAGCCTTTTGCTAGTTTATGGGAATTTGACATTGAAATGAGGACACAAAATGTCACTGGAATTGAGACCATGCACTTTCACTTACATACACACTGCCATTATGCCATTGGCATTATTTTTTTAATAACCACATTACTTGCTCTCTTACTTATTCGGTATTTTCTACTGTGCATTTACTGTGTTGTTTTCATGTTTGACTCAGCACAACGTGACTGCTTCTTTGGTTCAATCTTGTTTACTTGACCAGTGGCTGGAGCAGTAGCTGATATTAACAGGAAGGTTGCAGAGGGCGACTCCCAGAATACACTGAAGACTTTGCAGGCTCCCAGTGCAGGACTGAGAGCGGTGCTGCCTGAATGTGCTGATACATACCAGGCTGAACTGGTGCAGAGACAAACTGACGGTGCTACTGAAGGTAACTGGATTTACAAGTATCACCAGAAAGGATGCTCTGTGTTTAAGAAACTGACACTTAAATGGTTCAGAGTTGGTGGTCTATAAAAAGTTCAGTGTCTAAAGAAGGGCTTTTTTCTTTGCTCCAGGCAACCCAGATAGTGTGTGGGTAAAACATTGCACCAAGGACAGATATGACTACTACTATAACCTGGAGACTGGACAGGGCACCTGGGAGGAGCCTGAAGAATTCGAACACAATGGTGGCCAGCTCAGTAAAGAGGAAATCCAGGTACTCCCTGCTTTGCAACTTAATGTTGACTCAGAAAGTATTCAGAGCCCTTTTACTTTTGCATGTAGATTTAATTTTAAATGGATGAAATTTCCATTTTTACCCTCAAATCTACCCTCAGTAAAACTTAATGACAAAGTGAAAACATGATTTTAGAAATTTTGGCATATATTGCAAATTACAATACTTTCTGAAGTCACAGTACATTCCCATGATGGGACTGATTTAAAACCCAGAAACATGCCTTTTCCCCTCAGACTGTTGTCAGCTGCGTGACTGCAGAATATAACCGGGAACAGTTATGGTTGGCCAATGAATCCCTCGTGACCCAGCTGCAGGCGAGGATCAGAGGTTACCTGGTCAGGAAAAAGCACGCCCAAAGAATGGAGTATCTACGCCAACAAGAACCACATGTTGTCAAATTGCAGGTAGTGTGTGGCTCCACTGTGAACCTGTGAATAGTGACTAATGTCAGATTTAAAATTTACTTTACAAACAGTATACTGACTATGCATTTCGATGTTTACATCATTTGTATAACTGTAAAACACACAGCTTTCAGTATGCTTTCCATGTATATTTTTGATAATATTTTTCCCCTGCAGGCTTGCTGGAAGGGTCACAAACAAAGGAAAATGTACAAAGACAGAATGAATTTGCTTCAGAAAAATGTTTCTTCTGTTGTCAAGGTAATAAATCTATAAAAACAAAAAAGAATCACTTACTGAGTGAATATACAAGTGTAAAGCTATGTGCCCCTTTCTTTCTTGTAAATGTCTCTGAAAATCATCAGCGACAAATTGAAAGAATTGTTGTAGCTGGGAGCTGTTGACACACATTAAATTAATTTGCATGTACATAACATTAATACTGTTGCTTTGAAATCAAAGACCTGACATAAAACACTTGATGCTTTTAGATCCAGTCCTTGGTGAAGATGTGGAAAGCCAAACGTAAATACAATCAGAGGTTACAGTTCTTCAAAGATCATGTGAGTATCACTTCAGTCAGTCAGCGTTACTGAGTGGCATCCTTTGGTTTTGTGCTGTGTGTTGCATGTTTTGTGAGGCTCATTGTTATCTGTGTTTTTAGGAAAAACAAATTGTGAAGATCCAGGCTTTTCTAAAGGCCAACAAAGCCAGAGATGACTACAGAACCCTGAGTGAGTTAAAAAAGCATTTGACACTCTGAGCTGTCTGATATAATATCAACATTGTAATGTGAGACTAGAAATTGTATGTAATTTTGATTATTATCATATTGCAACATTGGTTAAATTAGCTCACTAATATGTGAGCTTATCTGACTGCTCTAGTTCTACCAGTTTAGTAATCACACTCACATTATTTATGATCTTCTTTTTCCAAATTTTTCTCTGTGTAAAAAATTTGTGTCTTATGAAAGCAAGTGCCATTACTAAATTATAGCAGTATTTAGATGTTGTTATTGAGTTATTTGGCCAAAAACATTGTGACAATATTGTGATTTTGTCTGTATTGCCCAGCCCCCAACAAAAACATAACACTTGATGGCAACATTAAAAATATCATTGTGTGTGTGTTTAAAAGAGTTGTGAACAGGGCTTTTGCTGATTTTCTTATGTGCCAAATGTTAGCTGGGGCCAAGGATCCTCCTCTGTCAGTGGTGCGTAAGTTTGTCCACTTGCTGGAGCAGAGTCCCCTGGATCTGCAGGAAGAGCAGGAAGTGACACGGCTCAGGGAAGAAGTGGTCACCAAGATTCGCTCCAACCAGCAGATGGAGAAAGACCTGAACCTGATGGACATTAAGATTGGACTGCTGGTGAAGAACAGGATCACTCTGCAGGTTGACAATCATTACTTTTATGTGTTCAAGGACAGAAAATTTATTTCATGTTGGTTGACATCAATCATTGCTTGGTAACGGCTCCTAACATTGACCTGTGATTAAATTCCTGTAATTATATCTTATATCTGTCCAGTTAAGCGTCTTAATTAATTTGGTGTTTGTTTCTTTGAAAAGGATGTTGTGTCCCATAGTAAGAAAATGAAGAACAAGAAAAATAAAGCGAGTAAAGATGACTTGACTGCAGGAGACAGACTGGGTATTAAGGGCCTAAGTAAAGGCAAACGTAGGAAACTGGAGGCCTACCAACATCTTTTTTATCTGCTACAGGTATTATAAAAATGTTTCTAACTCTACCTCATCTACCGCAACTTAAGCTACAGCTTACATGTATCCGACTTAAATGAAATGCCTGTCCAGTGGCAGACACACACTTAATGTTACTCCTTTTCTCTTCCTTTCCTTTTAGACCAATCCATCATACCTGGCCAAGCTGATCTTCCAGATGCCCCAAAACAAGTCCACTAAGTTTATGGACACTGTGATCTTCACCTTGTACAACTACGCCTCCAACCAGAGGGAGGAATACCTGCTGCTCAAACTCTTCAAGACTGCTCTGGAGGAGGAAATCAAGTGAGAACTGCTGCTCTGAACCATATCCACTGTACCTGGTTTACACTTTGTAACCATTGTAGTTTAAAATAAATTTTGATTGTGTAAGTGAAATAATATCAGATCCTGAAAGATAATAGTTTGGCATTCCCTGAATGTTCAACGCATTTTGTATTTTCCTTGGTTGTTGTGGTGGACACTACTGATCTACTGCACCATCTTCTCCATGTACCTCAGTTCTAAGGTGGACCAGATCCAGGACATAGTGACAGGGAACCCAACGGTCATCAAGATGGTGGTGAGCTTCAACAGAGGTGCACGAGGCCACAACACACTCAGGCAGCTCCTGGCTCCTGTGGTCAA